CCGCGTCTGGGGGCAGTTTTCTAATCACCGGAAACGAGCAAACGGCGGGCTCGGTGATTTCCGGAAGATACCGAGTCGTTGTTGTTGTTGTTATTTTTTCCTTCAGTTTGTTTACAAACCCAACGTGATCTCTTATAGTGGTCCATATACGCTTTATGCGGTATCCAAATGGATCAAATTTTAAATATCCAACGCAATCCTTCTACATTTCATTTCACGATATCACGAGCTCCGATTTTTAGGTTATGTTGTCAGTTTTAATTGACCGGAAATAGCCGCGAGTTGCCGTTAATTGTTTCCGTTAGAAAACTGCCCCCAGACGCGGGAAATTTGAAAAAGCGCGTTCCTCACAACGCAAAATGCGCAGTAAGGAGTGTATTTCAGACTTTTTTAATGTGACCATCGTAATTTTCGTGTCATTTAACCTGTGAAAAGTCTATTCGCACGGCTGTATCTCTTGCATGCAACAGGCCCATTTTTTAATGAAAATAAATTATAATCTGCGTCAAGATATAATGCTGAACAGGGCCGTATTTACCTTCTTGCCGCTCATGGGCCGCCTGTATTTTGCTGTCCCCTTTTCATTTTTGAAACATCATTGAAAACCATCAAGTGAACGTGCCGAAGGGGTGCATATGCCGCGTTTACTCTTGTTGGACACATTTTTTGCGAAATCCCTGTCAACACTACTAGCAAAAGTTAAGTTCCGTAAACCTATCTCTGCGCGGACAAGGCCTTCCATACATAAGAAATTAACAAAAAAATCATGAAAGAACAAACATAAATGGTTTGATTGTGGTTTGATTTGTAATTTTAACTTCCGCCGCCGCGCCGCGCCGTGCCGCACTGTGTTTGACGGAATGCGTGAAGTTCATGCAGTCTTGTAGGCGCTAAGCGTTTCACGCTGACTGCACTGTGCGAGACGCAATGCGTGAAGTATTCATAAAGTCTTGTAGGCGCTATGCATGTCACGTTGACCGCTCCTGACCGCACTGTGTTTGACACAATGCGTGAAGTATTCATGCAGTCCTGTAGGCGCTAATATGTTCTACACGCGACCGCCGCGCCGAGGGCTTCTCCTTTTCATTTCAAGTCCTCGTCATTATTGCTCTCTGCGCCGCGCTGCTCCAGGCCAAATTGTGCGTTTGGTTTCTCTCTTAACTCGATTTATTACAGGTGCTGTCTCTTATCACGGAAAGACGACAAAATTATAAATTACTATACTCTCAGGAAATAAGAGATTTTGTCGCCTTTTCTCGTTTGTAATTTTTTTTCGGAATCAGATTTTTTCTACACCTTCATTTGAAAAAAGTGCAAAATTTGCCGCCCCCTAAATCCGTCCCTGATGCTGAAGAATTTTTAATCATAGTGATTGCACAAATACTGGGAAAAAAATGTTAGCCGGATTTAAAGGAGAACAGAATAATTGATAGAAACAGTTTGGAGAAAAGGAAGTAAAGAGGGAAAAGAAAAAAAAGCGTACCCTCTATAGAGATTTGTAAAAGAACATCCACTGTATTTTTTTTAACTCTCTTTGAAGATCTTTTCTATTTGTTCTGGTCAAATGGCAAAATAATACCTTTGTGGTAAAATCTCATGTTGCACACTCAGTACGCAGTAATTTGAGCATTATTTTGACCGTGATTAACAGAAGGATACCAAGTCATATTAAAATAGAAACGAAAATAAGAGTTTTGAGGTTTTGTTCCCCGTGGAACTCATTGTCAAAATGAAGGTTTAATGCTTATTCTGAAATTACATATGTTTTTTCAAAATCAACTTTGAGTTTTTGACGAACGAAAATTTCGGCCGGTCAAGCTCAAAATTACTCATAACTTTTACTTCATACTTACATATTTGATGTGATTTTTTTCTGTGCGATTCAACCAGCGATTCCTGGCAGCTGTGGCAATAAACTACATATTAAATGACCCCATTCCATTCAAAATTGCATTTAAATACATGCCGTCGTCAGTACTGGATCTATGAGTTATTTTACTTGGTGCATGCAAGATTGATTCATACCTACGACAGCGCGTAAAAGAGGCTTGAGGGACACTCTAAAACATGGCTGTATTTGATAAACATAAAAATAATGATCATTTTCATGTTCATGCATGAAATTGAACCAACTAGTTCATCAAAATGCATCCGTCTAATGCAACAAATAAAAGCAAGGTAAGAAATACCAACTCGATTTTGAAAATTTGCAATTCACATGAGTGGGTACTTTCATTATTGAAATTTTGTTGGTTTGAATGATAAAATATCACCTCGAGTGCTGAGCGATATGCCTATTTAGAGGACTTTATGGGTTGGGCAAAGAGAAGTCCTACGAATTTTAAGCATAAACCCGTCGGATTACACTTTCAATTCGACCCAAAAATGGAGGTCCTTTTAAAGCTCCTTCACTGCACTGGGCATGCAATTTGATCTCCTGGAAGTTAAAATAGTTGCTAGAGGTTATATATATTCTACCACACGAAAAGAAAGCGTGCTATATGGTTCCGGATGAATACTGACGTTTGAGGAACAACTGCACCAGGTGCCATCACAGCTACACTACATTTTACGATAATGGACTCTGCCGTGCTAAGGAAGAACGCCGTATGAACATTTGCGAGTTGCCAAATTCCCTTCGATAATATGTTTATTTTTGAGAAAAATTTTGAATATTTTTCCTTGAAATCTTCAGACACTTTAGATCAAATTACAGACAAAATTATCTGAGATATTGGCAGAAAAATATTAAAAAATGTTCCTGAAAAATAATGATTTGCCAGGGGAAATTTGGCAACGCCTGAAGGCTCATACGGCGTTTTTCCTTAGCACGGCTGCACTGTTTACTGCTCATTTTAGAAACAACCTGTGTGCCAAAAGTTTTCATGATCAAATAGAAGTCTATATTAATTAGTCAGAAATAGAGGTAAAATGTAGGACAATAATGAATTTTTAGTTCTGAGCCACACCCGTCAAGACGACAAAATGCAGGAATCACTATAGAGATTCTAAAGCAGCGCCAGAGGAGTAGACGCGCCAACAAACGTGAGTTGTTTCTTGAAGCAATGACGGATACTGAGATTATTCCTTAAGCATTTGCGAACAGAGATTGTTATGGCAGAAAAATAGAGGGATCACTTCAGAGACTTTAACGCAGCGTCAGAAAAGTAAGCGTGCCGACGAACGCGAGTTACTTGACGTATGGAGACATAATTAATTAACAAAGGCGCTTAAATGAGAGAGAGAGAGAAAAACAAGCGGAAAAGCGAATAATACATTTGTTAACACAAACTAAAGGTCGAAATTAAGGTTCGAATTAAGGTTCAAAATTGCACATTTCGGGATATGCAAGAAATTGATAGGTTCAGGCAGTTGGACAACAACTTAAATTTTAGTGAGTGTTTTTAGTAATAGATTTAAAGAAGGCGAGCCAAGCTCTTCCTAAGAGTACAGAAAACGTGTTCTATTAGGATTAAAGATTGAGCTATAGATGTTCGTACGATTTATTTGAGCACCCAACACGTTTTACTCGCTAAAACATGCATTTTTTCTTTTTCTTTGCTGATTTTATAAACTTGGTGCACTTACAAAATTTAAGAATCAACGATTTTATCTCATAAAAAGAAAGATATTAGTGCATGGATGTCATTTGGACCGCCTTAAGCAGAAAGGAACCAAGCCACATCAGCTGTTGCCAAATTAAATTCGGCACTTTAATTTTTTGCATGAAAACGGTTACGCGGGTTTCTGTGCAAATTTCAGTGAATTTTCTGCATAGTGCATAGCGAATTCCTCACAATTCTCAAAAGAATCCAAATGTTCTTTTGTGAACAATTAAATTACGTACGTAAATTTGGCAATAGCTGATGTGGCTTGGCTCCTCTCTGCTTAACGCGGTCCATTTGTTTCATCATCGTCCCATAGTGTCCTCCTGAATGTTTTGGTAGTCAACAGAGATGAAGATAGGAAGAAAATTTACTAAATTTGTTTGAGGGTCTGTGCAAACTGCCCCTCGGATGACATATTCCTATATAAATTTGCTAGCTTTGATGCTAGCCCTCTGATGGAACATCCTCGAAATTTTGATTGGGAAGATCTCATTAGAAAAGATCACATTTAACACAAATTCAGCTCGTCCCAGAAAAGGAATACGACTATTGACTTCAAAAAATGCGAGAAACAAGGATATGTTGAGGTATTTTTGCCAAAATGAAATACGTGAAAATTAATAAAAGTAAAATGAGCTATAAAGCACGCAAATCCTTTGCATATTTTTTCTTTTCATTTAAATCATTTTTGTATTGTTTCTTTTAATATAAAATAAATACGTCCTTAAAGGATGATTTATGACATTAATTTAGAATTTACAAGAAGAAAGAAAAATACCCTTCGAGAGTTTAAGAATTACTCAAATTCTATGGCAGTACGAGTTGCATTCGGTTTTTTCTTTTAAAAAAGAGGGAATAGAACGCTACCTATTAACTTGAGTTTTTTCTATAAAAAAAAGAAAAAAAAGAAAAAAAAAATCGGGAGTATTTAATTATTTAAAATTAAGTAATACTTGATGAAGCTAAATCTTGATTGAAAGTGAGTCAAACTCTTGAAATTTCAAAAGTCCCAAAAATGAGAATAGTAATCTGGGAATAAAATCGAGAAATTTAATATTTATATCGTCAGAAGTTAGGCGGAAAAAAAACTAAAAATTTATCGGAGTATAGATAAAAACCCCGGATAAAAAGTAAAATAATTCAAGATTCGTCTCCCTTTCTTTCTGACTCTTGAACTTCTTCACTCTTTCTCTTGATTCAGAATATCCTCAACCGCAGGACGAGCATAACCACTTGGAGTAAATGTTATTGATGCGGCTCTAACTTAAGGTAATCGGTTTGCGGCGAGGCTCGACGGGCGAAACCGATGGGTTGCTAAGAAGGGAGTAAAATAGTCAAACTATAATAGCCAGGTGAGGATTACCCGAGCGAAGGCAGGGAGGAGGGTGGGGAGGCAAGTTCTTGCAGACAGAAAAAGTGAAGCGCCCGGTAGATGTGATTTAACAGTGAAGCTGATCGCAGCACAGTATAGTGAGAATGAATTACTGGTTTCATCTTTGCATCCTTTCATCTGTCGCCCTCTCTTGTAAGTCCACGCTTTGATATTATCCACTCTTCACGTTCCCTTGACGTTTTTCCTGTCTTTTCTGGCATTGGTCCGATCCTGGCTTCCGAGGATCTGGTCCGGCCATTAGCTAGTAAACCGTCCGGAATTCCTCACACCGTAATCTCTTTAATTATTTTTCAAACATTTTCGGCTGTTAAAAGTTGTGTTGCTTTTCATCGTTAGAGATTATTAAGTCTTCTTTACTGTCCAAGTCAAATTGTTCCCTTACATCTCTGCAAATGAATGAATTAACGGCAGAACTCTCATTATCTATTTCCAATACCAAAATGAATTGTTTAAAAAACGATGAACCTCGGAGTGCTAGTTTTGGGTCAAACTAATCGTTTTAACTTTCACTAGGAAGGGAAAAAGTGTTCAGTAATTTCTTTAAAAACTACCCCTAAAATAATCTACCCCGAAGATGATTCACATGATTGGGTCTTCTGTGTCTATGCACCTACAAATTTAACGAATTATGATTAGGATTTTTGCACCATAGCCTCTATAACCCCGAGATCCAATTTGATGAGTGAAGGTAATGAGAAAAGTAAAGCATGTCACACTGAACCTGTAGTAATTGTCACGTGGTATGTCGGTGTGGGTGTGTGGAGTAGATCGAGTTCCCCCTCTCCAGCGAATTCTCAAGTTGTCAGTAGAGAAGGGATGAACGCTGGTAAGGGAGAGCGACCAGGAAATGAATCAGACCTATCATATGGACTTTAGTTTGGAGTAACCACGATTGTAACTAAGCTCGCCTACCCATGTTTGTTAGACGTAACACTCTGGGTTTAAACTTATCAAGTGGGAGCTTTTCCCACATGATCACCCTTAAAAAACAGTTGAAAGGTTCTCCTCTACAAATCAGTATACGATTCTGAAGTATGTCTGAAATTAAATATTTTCATAATCAATTTTCATGTTAGAGGATTTGGGACACCTTATTCCTTGCTTTTGACTCGCGTTTGATTGAGGAGGGAAATGCATTATTGACATGGTGTGTAGCAATGCTAAGACCTACCCCATTCCAGTTCCTACCATGATAGCGTATAAGCATAATGTCTGTTCATGAGTCCGAGGATATATTTTTGCAACAAATCCAAGACGAGAAAAAACTTTGGAAAAAGATTATTTGACTTGAAAAGTTGAATAATTTTACATTTCCTGTTGAACTTGCAAACTTCTTCAGTTAATCTACCCTATATAATTATAGGTCAATTTCAATTCATTATTTCCATTTCTTTAAGAAAAAGTTTAAATTTTATTTTTTACGTCATGCTCACCGTCTCATAGTTATTAGGATGAACTTGCTCATTTGCAAAAGGGCCCAAGCACCAACTTTTAAGTCTTGGTCTCTCTCATCTCTGATACCTTCAATAGCAAAGAGTCCCTACTACTTCGTCCTTTTTGTCAATAGACGCTTCAATGGACTACATTTCGCAACGAGGAAGCATTGTTTCTTGCTGATTTCAGGAACAACATATGTGTCATTAGTTTTCGTGTGCATATGGGTGTTTGCCTAGGATATAGCCTTTGTTGCAAAATGTAGTCCACTTATTGCAACTATAATATACGACTAAAACTTGCGGTAAACTTTGCCAGCATTCATGGGACACTTTCGCCTGGATACTGCAATCTTCACATTTTTAAAACTCATAAATTAAACCTAAACAAAGCAGAGTTCACCATAGATTTGGTCCATCTTCGGGATGAATCCATTCTGTGGAGCGCGCGCGGACATTTGGACGTATTTAAATCAAAAGGAACTATGTGCATTGAGGTATGAGCCCTCAGACTCATAATAATACCTGTATGATACGGCTCAAGTCGCAATGCACCTCGTTCCTGTTCATTTGAATAAGCCCATTTAGACTAATCCGTCGGCGTCGGCGCATAATTCGTGTTTGGGTGCCAGCGACTTGATGCTCTGCATGCGATGCTGATTGTTGTGCGGCTGCGGGTACTAAATACTCCTCGGTAAAAAGTGATGAAACTTTTGGGCCGACTTTTCGCAACCACTTTGCATGTCTGATTCTCACTCCCGCTGCCTCTGCCGCCGGTGCGGTGCCGTAAAATTAACGAGACATTTCTAGTTGCATCATCAAAACAGCTGTTGTTTTTTCCTCGAACTCCCTCGGGCTGAATCGGTTGTTCCCTTGCGATGATATAAGTACTCGAAGATTGAGAAATCTGGGCACCTAACCCTCCAGGTGCCTTATATCCTTTGTTCGGAGTAGTATTTTCTTCCATAGTACACGAGTATTGGAATCACTTTAAGTGGGACCAAAAATCAATCAAACCTAAAATTTCGAAAGGTCTTAAAAGTTCAAGCTGTTGAAGTTCTCTTCAACCAAAAGATTGAGACCCTTCGTTTGCGGATCTTTTTGAGTTAGTGTTTTGAAATTTCACGGAAAATGAAGTTTTGGAGTAAAAAGTATAATGCAGCAGATGAACAAATAACTACCGAGTCGAAAAGAATGAGAACAAGCTACTTTTAACTTAAATCTGAAAAATTCCAGTCTATTACATCGCAGGAAGCAGACACGTAGAGGGCGCCCCCGACACCCCAAACGCGAAAAAAAAGGGCAAGGATGGAAGAAAAGTCGACATAAAATAAGAACAGGCAAGAAAGAAGGAAGTGTGAACCCGTTATTTATTACAAAATAAGAACATCCAAGATGATAGGATACCTTTTTTGGAGAGCAATAAATATTCTTTTTTCGTGTAAAAAAGAAAAGAAAACTTAGAGTGAAAGTTAACACATTTCCACTATTCAAGCAGTAACTGTTTCAATCAATGCATGTATCGTAATGATTACAGCAGCGAGTGGTTTTGCTCATGAAAGTCTAAAATAATCACGAAGGGGTAGCTTTACAACTTAATTGTGTAAAAGATTGTAAAACAACAGTTTTCAGGAGGTCGTTTACAAACATTTTTCGGCCAAGGCCAGCCCCCCCCCCCCGAATAAAAAGCCTGGCTACGTACTGAAACGGCAAATGTTAAGACTCAGAAATTTTCCCCCTTAAATTAATGGAACACTAGGCATTATACATTTATTTCAGCAACGCTAACTACAAATGACTGATCAGATGTAGCAATAATGAATTTCAAGTGTCAAATATTTTGACACAAAATGCGAAATGAAGACCCCCACATTCAGTAACCACGGCATAGATGATTTCAGTCACGCGATTCCGGTGTTGGGAAGGCTTCAAACACCGTTGGACATTATCGTTTCTAGGTGAGCTTCATGGTGATTTTCACTCACAAAGGTTGCATCTCCCTTTTTTCAACAAATTAAGATACAATAGGTGAATTTTGCTCAATTTCAGGCATGCACATTGATTTTTAAAATCAACAAAACTTGATTGGCATCCTCTTGTTTCTCTCTCTGGTGTTAAAACGTGTTGATTCTGGTCCTAATGAAATAAATATTACCACGCCGAAATGACAATTTCTACCGATGAAAGCGAAAGAAAAGAGGGAAAAGAAAACAGCGAGAATTTTGTGGTCAGCGGCTCAGCGCGCGTCGAGAAAAGATTCACGGGCGCTATAAAACCAGTGAAAGTCGTCGCAAACATTTCTCTCTAAAAAGCTTTTTTATCGTTTTATTCGTTAAGTGAGCTGAGAGCATCGGTGCATGTTGCGTGTCCAAGACAAAAAATAAAAAAAACTTCACTCACTCCGAAATTTCATTCAATTTGCAAGGAATGTTGATTTTTTTTTCTTAAATTCAAAGTCCCTACTCTTGAAGAGGAACTCAGAAGTTGATATTAATCGGAATAATTGGGGTTGATTACATGTTCCTTTTGAATGTTAAAAAGACAAGCTTTGAACCATGAATTGACTTTTAACTCTGCCAAAACTTACAATATAAAGTACTGACCTACAATTAAAGGTAAAGTTCCTTTATAGAGAAGGAGATAGTTAAAGGGTAAACAAGGCTAAAACATTAAAAACACTAAAAGGCAGGACGTTTCGAGCTATTACCAGCTCATTTTCAGCTGCAAACTTCGCGTTCTAAGCTCGAAACGTCCTGCCTTTTAGTGTTTTTAATGTTTCAGTCTTGTTTACCCATGTTTTAATTATCTCCTTCTCTATTTGTATTTTCGGGATATGTTTTAATGTGCCTCATCGTTCTTCCATAGTTAGGTAGAATAACATAACTGATTCTTGTTTTCTAATTGCATTCTTCCGCATAATGATAAATTAGTCGTGTATTACAATGAACCCTCGCCTAGAAACAATCCCTTTTGAGTCAAAAGGAATTCCCGTTAAAAATGCTGCGACAGGAATTTCGCTTTGAAGCAACATAACAGGAAATTTCCTTATTTTAAATAGCATTCCTCCTGCTTCGAAGAAACTTTCTGTCCATTAAATGAGAGTTTTGGTTCATTCTACAACAATTCCTGTCGTGGTTTACCTGGCAAGAAAATTTATCTCAGTGTGCAGTAGCCTCGTACGGAAGATAAATTTTTTGTGCGAAAATCGTCGAAGTTTACATTAGGGCACATTATACACAACTATGATAAAGCATTTTTTCCCCTACTTTTTGTCAATAAAGCTAAATTGTCCTGTTGTAGCAGTCAGTCGGCAACGTAAAGATCCCAATTTAATTGAAGACCACTGAATAGTGGGCTGCCAAAGAAGAAAGTTACAGCAGTTGGAAGTGTTAAGTCATGCGATGGCATTTTTGCTTATTACGTGATCTTACACCGTAACGCGCCATCTAATCCTCCTCTAACTGATATTTAGGACCGAAGTGAATCACTGTCCTCGCGAACTGCGAGGGTGTTCCTGCTTGCTCACTTGTAATTCCAAAAGTTTAGCCACGAGCAGGATCGCGAATCATTTGTCTTTTGATAACAGGCCTTTGAAGCAAAGTTTCACAGAAAAGTTTATGGCATGCCTTGCTTTCTTTCTGTGTTCTGTCCGTGAGTTCTACAGAGATACGATATTACGACCTAGCAGATCTTTTACGA